TTCCCCCTCAAGAGTGAGACACTCATCTTTCCCCACTTGACTCTGGAGGACCCACCGGCCCTGTCCTCCCTGCTGAGTGGGGCTTGGAGGTACCATCTCAGCCTCCACATCCTGGAGCTGGGGGAGAAGCCTGACAATGTGACAGAAAAGCCCCTGCCCAAGACTCAGCCATAGGTGAAGGCGCTGCTCCACCTTCTAGGTAGAGAGCTGGGCTGGGACAGAGCCCTGACTCTCTTCCTTCCCTTTCCCTTCCAGAATCCCCACCTCTCCTGTGCACAGCCTTTGACTGCTCCACCTTCTGGGTAAACTGACACCCATCTTCCCTCAAAAACCAAAGATCTGACCAGTCGCAGTCCTAATGCCAAGGTCCCCAAAGAACCTGGTGAAATCAATGACGCAAAATGCCTGTTCCTGCCCTATTCCTTCCAGCCACTGTGATGTTTTAAACATATAAATAGCACCTGACTGTGAAAGGAGACAACAATCTCCTAATGACTTTCCTGAATGACTCCCCCCAAACCTTCCAGGATGCCTTACCTCTTGCTGTCATGACAACCCTTTGGCTTCCTAGATACCTGGAAGGAGGCAGTGTAGTGATGTAGAAAGAGCAGGTAGCTCATATTCAGAGGAGTTTGTTCTCATCCCTGGTCTGCTACACACTGGCTACGTAATCTTAAGAAAGCCCCTTCCCCTCACCCAGCCTCAGTTTTCCAATCTGTACAATGGATCAGAAGGTCTCTGAGGTGTCTGCCAGCTAACACTGTGTCATTCCTGGGTCTGCAGCACATGTTCCCTGGCCAGACAGGCATGTCTCTCCCAAAGCTCTGTAAGCATAGAAGTGGGTGTGGCATATTTAATGGCACTTCAGGGCCTACCTACCGTCTCAGTGCTTGGTTATTACCAAAAAAAGTAGTTCTGGAACTTTTCTGCCCACCCACTCTCTTACTCCTGTCCCTGAGAGAGGTGATGGAACGTTTCTGCATCTCACCCTTGAGGGATCAAGCCCAGATGTTCTCCCTTCTCAGTTGGCCCCAGTGGGAATGGAGATAGAAGGCTCAGTCAGTATCTGGTGGCACTTGAGCACAAAACCTTAAATGTGGTCTGGTCACTCTCCAAGCTCAAAGCTTCTGTCTGAAGCCCCTTCACAGGATGGAGGGCAGACCCCGGGCCAAACCCACACCTGCCGCCCTGGTGGAAGCCATCAGACCGGGGCGTGTGGCTCCTCACAACACAGGGCACCCCCGCCCGGTCCGCTGGGAATATGAGGGGCTGTGGCACTAAGCTTGTCCTCGTTCTCCCTCCTCACGCCCCTGCCATCTCGTGAGAGCAAGAAGCACCCAGGCCACTGAGAGCAGTATGCTGGAGGAGCACAGGGCAGGCGGCCAAACCTATACAACCGACCAAACCTGAGCGCTTTTCTAGTCCCGCCTTCCGCAGCCTAAAGCCTCGGGTCATTTTAAAGCTCCACCCACCGCAGGCAAGCTGCTCTGTGGCTGCTGCTGGGTCCTAGTGCCACACTTTCCTCAGGACTCCAACCCCAAGGGAGAGGAAAGTCAGTGCCATGCTAGTAAATGTTTAGCAACCCGTTCTCTAAGGGCAAACTAGCACCCATCTGTAGTGTTTTCTGACTTGTGTGGTGTAAATACTCTTACCATGGCTGATTTCAAACTACTAAAACGATGTTACTCAACTTGGGAGGAGATGCCAAGGATCTCTCTCCTGAGCTGGCTGTAGCACACTCCCGGATATTTCCCTCTTTAAAACTCTACAGTACCTGTTCATGACAGTTCATTGTTGTTTGGGTTGGTTTGTTACGAACTTCAGATTGGTCTTCCTACCTGTACTGCTTAGCATCGTCTCTGGCACCCGACAGCACTTATTTACTTTGCAGCCAAAGATGGCTTTTCTGCCCAACAGATAAAACCAAATGCCACCTTGAGACACCCCAGATTCAAAGGTCCCAAATTCCTCTGGGCTTCTTGGGACTTCTCTTCCCTTCCCCAGTTGGGTCACAACCTCAGAATTCCCTGGAGGAGCTGTTGGTGTAGCAGTTTGTGTAGACTGTAGTGATCTGACCTCTAACAAATTTGTCTGTAAAGTGTTGGTATCTAGATTTGTGTGGCACCAAGGGGTGATTTGGAATTGTCCTGCAGGATAGTGGAGTGAGTTACTTCCCTGCTTCACTTTCTGACGAAGCTCAGAAGAGCCTGAAAGGTATGTTGGGAGATTGTTGTCACTGGGGGTGGTGGGAAGAATTTGGTCTGCTTCTTTAGTAATAGGGTACCTGGTGGGATGACGAGCCACTGACTACGAACACTGGAGGCTTCTCCAACAAAGCGGGGAGGCATCCAAATCTCTAGCTGGAGCAGAAAGGACCCAGTTCTCTCTCTCTGCTCTCAGACTCCTTTTACAAAGACGGAGGGAACTTCATTCCTTCACACTTCTTCCACAAAAAATAAACTGCCTTCATTTCCTGCTTTCCTTCCTTTCTTACCAAATGGCCAGCTTGTCTAGAAGCTTCATTGCTTCCTGCACCACTTCCTTTTTGTCTCTGCTAGTCTAGAAAAAGACCCAACTGTGAGTGTGCTTGTTTATGTGGAGGGTAAGGGATTGGGCTGGGGACTGCCAACATTCTGCTGCTCTGATATTCAGATCCAGAGACCAAGGAGTGGGACTGAAACCAATGAGGCAAACAAGGCAGTAGAATGAACAAGCTCCTCTGGCTCCTCACTGCCAAGGTCAAAGGAGAGTCCAGTAAGTTGCCTCTGGTCTGGGAGAGGGAGGACAGGAGGGTAGGATGCCAAATTAGAACTCTGTCATTAGGAGAGTGGGACACTGGCCTCAGAGAGGATTAAATAGAAGCCCCTCTGATGGGAAGACTGGAGGATGGAATGTCTTATCAGAACTTTGACCACTAGGAAAGTGGAGGACAGGCTGCTTTTGCTTCTCCACCCTATCCAGTGACTATCAGAATGCCAGAGTACAAACTGGTCACCAGCCTAAAAGCTTCTTGGGCTTCGAGCTTTCTAGATTGCATGATGAACTGTGTAGCCTGATTAGAAGCAATCAATGCATACAATGGATTTCCTAATCATGGGTTTGTTAGCTGAAGCATAGTCTTTAGAGTGCATCCCAGACCCTCTAAAATAGGGACAAGGAATCCAGGTAGCTTGTTCCATGGTAGGCAGTTGTCCTAACACCCAGTGACGATGGTGGTTGGTGGCAGGGAAGGGAGGCATTGAAGGTCAGGGTAATTGCTGCAGGGTAAATGTGATTAGGGACGTGGGCCCTGGAGTCAAACACCTGTATTCACATTCCACTCTGTCAGGCCTTGGGCAACTTAAGTAGCCTAACACTTCCTCATATGGAAGTTGTAAGGAGTGAGATAACCCACACAGAGTGCAATTAGCAAGTGCCCAGTACAGAGTAAGTACTCAATATGTGCTAACTACTCTTACCATGGGCCTACAAGTCCCCAGGAATTCTAATCCACCTTGCCAGAGAAGTACGGAGCTCACACTGAAACCATGGGTAATGAGTCAATCCATTTCACCTGCCTTCACTAATCAAGGTCATTTTAAGACTCACAAGGCCTCCAAGCAGCACAGAGCCTAAACAATAAGATGTTTGATGGAGTTGTTTTCCAGGAATTTGCAGTTGGTTGTGTCTAGTTCAAGCTCTGGGCATGCTCCTGACCTTTTGACATCAGAGGGCCGAAAACTCCACCGGCAGAGGCAGGTGGTGCTAAGAGCCTCCATTTTTCAAGCTGCAGATGCATGTGGCTTAGTTACACCTGTGCAGAACTACAATTATCACACTCTTCTCCAATCACCTTTCCCCATGCTCCCCACGTCTCAGGCCGCCCTGCTTCTTTATTCTTTATCCCCAAAATACCGAAGCCCCTTGCCTTGGGGAAGACAGATCTGAGACTAGTTCTCCGCCTCCCTTGGCTGCCTTGAGAGTTAACCCTCTCTTTGCCGCAAACCTCTGCATCTCAGCGTTTGGCTTGCTACACATGGGGCAAAAGAACCTTGTCCGGTAACAATACCCATTACTCAGCTCACACATTTAATCAGAGGATTTTGGCAACTGCAGAATTGTCTTTTCATCCAGGCTCTCCCCTGGAAGTAGTGTCCTGCTATATCAGTGCAGCAGCATCCATCACTAGTTTTAGTCCCATTTCAGAGGGCAGACCCTCTTTCCGGTTGTACTTTGGTCCATGGCTCTCTGCCCGCGCGGTGTATCAGGTACCAGTCTTTACTTCTGTCAGGCTTCGGGGGCTTTCCTCATACGCTGTGTCCCGTCCGATCACAGGGCTCCCTTCGCCAGGGGTGTCGGTATGGCCTGGGCTCTCTGATGAGCGGGACCTCTGTAGGCGGACCATCTGAGTCAGGATTCCAAGGCAGGCGTAGTGTCCGGGATGACTTCTTAGCGCTGAGGCCGGTGTCGAGCCCAGAAGGGAAAGCAGGCGACCTCGACTCGGCCCGGCCTGGGTTTAGGGGTTTGCTCCCGGGCCCTTCTGGCTACCTGGTGGTGGCCGCGGGCGTTCCCGGAGGCTGCGGCGTAGCTCCTGAATGAAGATGTCTCTGAAGCGGGCGGCGCGGCAGCCCAGGGAGCCCGCGGCCCCTGCCGCGAGGGCTCGCAGGCGCCGGGCCGCGTCCTGCCCGTGTAGCTGGGCCTGCAACAGTGCGAAGGCGGTGAGCTGCGCCGCACGTCGGATGGGCCGCGACTCAGAGAGACGCTCCACCAGCTGCGGGCTGTGCAACAGGGCGGCCAGCAGCCGCCGTAGAATCATCCTCGGAGCGTCCCGGAACCCAGAGCACGCTGCTCTCACTTCTGATAGGCGACGCCTGACTACGGACCACGTCTGCGCCGGCGCCGCCGGGTGATGACACTGCCGCGCTAGGATTGGAGCACGGGATTTCGACTTTCCGCAGCCGCCTCCGAGCGTTTCCGGTTCCGCTACCGCCGGGGCGGCTTCGTTTTTCTCGCAGTGGAGGCGTCCTCGGCCGAAATCTGTGCACTATGTCGGGTGGCCTCCTGAAGGCGCTGCGCAGCGACTCCTACGTCGAGCTGAGCCAGTACCGGGACCAGCACTTCCGGGTGAGGCAAGCGGGGCAGCGAGAAGGGGAGGCCCCGGGCCAGAAGGCTGAGCATTGGTTTGCTCTTGTCTCATTGTGTCGTCTCCCATTCCCTGGTATCCCGAAACGCGAAGGGAAGCCCCGGTACCTGCTGGGGAATGGATTCTGAAAGGGCGTTTGGATATCACTGAATCATCTTCTCCCGTAGGCAGGGAATTTGAGGCTCGCTCTTACATTCCCTAGCAGCCGCTGCCTGATCCCCGGGGCAGTGCAGACGGGCGGCAGTAGTAGTGGCGTCTCAGGTTTTCCCGAACGGTGCCGCGGGAAGGTGACTTTGTGATGAGGGAAAGCGGTGCCTTTTTGACACGTGGAGCATGTGGAGGCGCCTTCCTGACCCAGATACCGGGGCTTTTAATTATTTTTAAATTTTCAGTTACATCAGCCAAACTGCGCTTTGGCGGTTCGCGTCCTCTCCTTGGGCTAGTTAAACGGCCCTCCACAAGTTGTACGTGGTGAGTGGCAGACACAGTTGAGTCCTGCCTCCACTTTTAGGGAGCCCTTGGAGTGTGGAGGGGGGACCAGCATGTTAAGTGTCTGGATGTCAAGATCGGAGAACTGCTGGGTTTCAGAAGAGGGAAATTTTCGTTTGGCCCACGTCACAGCAGATTCTGTGGAAAAGGGGGAGGCTACAGCTATTAAAGGTGGGTTCTTCAGTATCAGCAAAGGCGGGGATGGGGTGGAGGTGACTGACACTCATTAACTAGTGGTTGTTTAGTAAATTTGTATTGAGTGCTGTTGTTGAAGCCTTCTGCTAAACCTTAGAGAGGGAAGACAGTTTCCACACCCTAAGACTTCATAGTCCTCTAGGGATTATGGGATTGTTAAGGGAAGGACTGTAAATGTACAGATTTACAATGGAGGTAAGTGATCATAATCTAGGCAGAAATGATGAGTGGAAAGGGAGGGGCTGTGAGGATTCAGAAAATTCCCTGTGACGGGGAAAGGAGGGGTCACATACAGAAGATGGTAGGTGTGGAGAATGTTTAAAATGCATTAGTAGGGTAGGGAAATGGAAATTTGAGGTCAGATTGAGAAGGATCTTAGATTTTCACGCAGTCAACTGTTTTTTAAATGCTTACTATATGCCAGGCATGATTTTTCATTCTATCACTTTTACAGGTCTCATTACTTTAGAAAGTTCCACATCATAACCATCCTGAATTTCAAGCATCCTGCAAGATTAAAATAGTGAAAGGATTCAACTTTTGCTGTTGTTTATCTCTGCAGTCTAAAGCCTATAGTTTCATTTATGTAGTAGTAAGATACTGTCTTGTAGAATTTCTACAGTGTTTCCTGAATGGGATCCACATTATTATCGTACCTGAAATAAGTACTTATACCAGTTGTCCTAAACTGTAGGCTGTTTGGTGGGACATGACTTATATGTGTGAGAAAAGGAAAAAGGAAAATGCTTCTTGACCATAATTTTAACAAATCAGTAACAGCAGTAATAAAGTGAATCTACTTTATTTAATGTCTCATTCCAGAGTCCTGGAAAACCTATTTTTAATATATCGTTAAAATGACTCTTGTCCTGTGAACTTTTAAGGAAGTATGGGATTGGGGATAAGACTGGGTTTGGATTCCAGCTACAACTACTGATTAGATGTGTGACCCTGGACAAGCTACTTAACTGTCTTCCCTCAGGTAGAATGAGGATAATAAATTAGGACCTACTTCATTCAACTCTGAGAATTAAATGAGGCTTCCACACATGGAGATCTGACTTGCAGTCCCTTGATTCTCCCTAGAGGCAGACATATTACCTGTTTCTTGTGTGTGGTGTCCATGTATATTCATGCTTTTAAAAAATATAACTTGGAGCATACGCTTCACATTGTTTTGTGCCTTTCTTTTTTCACTTTGCTCTTGGAAATTCTAGGGTGACAATGAAGAACAGGAAAAACTACTGAAGAAAAGCTGTACATTGTATGTTGGAAATCTTTCCTTTTATACAACTGAAGAACAAATCTATGAACTCTTCAGCAAAAGTGGTGACATAAAGAAAATCATCATGGGCCTGGATAAAATGAAGAAAACAGCATGTGGGTTCTGCTTTGTGGAGTATCCTTCCTGTGTGTTTGATGTAGCTGTTGGCCAGAGGTGGGGCCCAGAGTGGCTGGTACCCTATTTTACAAGATGAGTGAGGATATTCGTTGATTAGCATCCCTACACTTAATCTCTGCCTCTCCTTCCTTCTGGCCAGTGTGCCTATACTCTTACACTGGGAAAGCTAGTAACATTAACATTCTTTCTGAAATCCATTCTTTTTTCATAGTTGATTAAGAAGAATAATCTTTGAAAATGTATATGCTTATGGTGTTTCAAAAAGTCCAGAGCGTAGTGAAAATAAAAGCCCTGTACCATTCTAAGTCCAGAGACAATCAGTTACGAGTCTCATGGGTCTTTCCAAAAGTAATCCTATGGATGTGTGGTAGCGTACTGCATGCACTCATTTTTTTTCACCTATCTTAGAAATTGCTTCATGTTAGCATATGTAGATCTACCTCTTTTGAAAACAACTATATAGTATTTCATTATGTAGATGTATATAACTTGATTTTATAGGTCAAAACCAAAGCTATATTTACTTGTGACCATGTATTCTCTCCCTGGAAACACTCCAAATATTGGGCCTTCTGGATTTATCCTTTGATGTTTTGTTTTTTAACTAATATTTTTCGGTCATTTTGTTTGAGAAATTTTCCAGACCTGATCTACCGTGTCTTGAATTTTCTTTTCTGTGCCCTGAATTGTTTCTTTTGGTTGTATTTATGCCGTAAAATTTCCTTCAGTTTCTGGTGATCCCTGGATTTCTGATCATAATTAGGGGGAAAAAGACTGACTATGTGGATCTAGGCGGAACTACTTTTTTAAAATAATTAATTAATTAATTTGGCTGTGCCGGGTCTTAGTTGCAGCGCACGATTCGTTGCCGCTCTAGTTCCCTGACCAGGGATCAAACCCGGGCCCCCTGCACTCTGCACTCGGAGCGCAGAGTCTTAACCACTATACCATCAGGGAAGTCCCCAGGCAGAACTTCTTAAGTTGCTGCCTTGCCTTTGGGACATGTGGGTTTCTCAAATGCTAGAATGAAAAGGGATTTTATTTGGCTTGCTAATGTTAAAGACAATGCCCTAGTTCCTCCAGACAGTTCAGATCCCTATCATTTTATTTTTATTTGCCTGGGATTAAATGCCTTTCTGTTAACAGGTCTTTTCCCCACATAGACACCTTTAATTAAACCCTATATGCAGCCTCACTTGTTATTCAACTTGGAATTAAGAGCCTCCTGGGGGCTTTCCTGGTGGCGCAGTGGTTGAGAGTCCACCTGCCGATGCAGGGGACGCGAATTCGTGCCCCGGTCCAGGAGGATGCCACATGCCATGGAGCGACTAGGCCCGTGAGCCATGGCTGCTGAGCCAGCGCGTCCGGAGCGTGTGCTCCGCAACGGCTTTAAGCCCTTTCAAGAGTATTTCGCACCGTGACTTTGTTTCATCCACTAGTACTCTTCACCTTCTGTTGAATCTCTGGTCTGCTTATGGTCTCTTCTCCTCTTTGTATATGTTTCTTTTCTGTTTTAATGGGGGCCTTGAGAAGTAAAGAAGAGAAAACGTGCTCTATCAGCTTGAACCAGAAGCCCCACTTTTTTTTAAATATGTAAATTTATTTATTTATTTATTTTTGGCTGCGTTGGGTCTTCATTGCTGTGCCCGGGCTTTCTCTAGTTGCAGCAGGCAGGGGCTACTCTTCGTTGCGGTGCGCGGGCTTCTCCCGTTGTGGAGCACGGGCTCTCGGCGCATGGGATTCAGTAGTTGTGGCTCGTGGGCTCTAGAGTGCAGGCTCAGTAGTTGTGGCGCATGGGCTTAGTTGCTCTGCAGCACGTGGGATCTTCTTGGACCAGGGATTGAACCCGTGTCCCCTGCATTGGCAGGCGGATTCTTAACCACTGCGCCACCAGGGAAGTCCCACTTTTGATTTCGGTATCTGATTTCTGGATTCTGCAAGCTTCTTCCACTCTTCCTTCAGATACGAGGGACGAGTGCCTAGGTTTTAGTTTTGCCTCTGGTGGCAATACTGTAAAATAGTTCACAGGGGACAGAAAAGGCAAAGAAAATACTAGATGATAACCAGTCTCTAAGAACTGGAGTGTTTTTGCATCTGCCTTGAAGGTCAGAGATCAACAGTCATGATGGCAAATACCTGAAAGAAAGGCTACTGTTCATTGTTAGTGTTTTTTCCCTCAGTTTGCCCTTTAGCATTCCTTTCATTCAACAAAAAATTACTGAATGCCCAATGTGTGCTAGGCATTGTGTAGATGCTGACACTGGAATTTCAGTGTTTCCCTACCTGTGTAATTAAAGACAAGGGGAAAAAGTCCAGATCAGTATTTCCTAAACCCAGCATAATGATCATAAGTATTACTTAGAGATTTTGTTTTTTAACAGCACCCCAAAGACAGATTCAGTAGACCTGATTTGGAACTACTAATGTGAGTGATATTTTGAGTGTTTCCTTCTAATGAAATGCAATGGCAATTCATATGTACCGTGACCTCTTTTTAAGGTTCTTGAATATACAGCTTCATATTAAGAGAACCCAAAGATGCTGTTTTCTTGGATAACAGTTCACGGTTAAAACCTGCACTGTACATATTTTATATTTTGCAAACCAAAATATGGAGACAGTGGAACCAGATACGTAACAGGATTATCCAAAAAATCATCAGTGTAGCCACGGATAAGTGTCATTTTTTTGGGGGGGGGGGGGGGGGGTTACGCGGCCCTCTCACTGCTGTGGCCTCTCCTGTTGCGGAGCACAGGCTCCGGACGCACAGGCTCAGCGGCCGTGGCTCACGGGCCTAGCCACTCCGCGGCATGTGGGATCTTCCTGGACCGGGGCACAAACCCGTGTCCCCTGCATCAGCAGGCGGACTCTCAACCACTGGGAGGCCCGGTAAGTGTCATGTTTGACTGCTTCTGGACCAACCTCAAACAGGCCTGTGCAAGACAAATTATTGTCTTTGAACTCCATCTGGTTGGATTAGTTTTTGTACTTTTTCTTAACTCAGCTTCATTTAGATGTCGCTTCCTCTGTTTACAAAAATATCTGGAGAAATGCTAATTCCTTAATAATTATAATTAAGATACTATTCAAGAGCAGATGCAGAAAATGCCATGCGGTACATAAATGGAACTCGTCTGGATGACCGGATCATTCGCACAGACTGGGACGCAGGCTTTAAGGAGGGGAGGCAGTATGGCCGTGGGCGTTCTGGGGGCCAGGTATGCAGAAAGGTTCTCTGGGTTCAGCCTTTGCCTGGGATTCCAGTCCTACATGACAAGTGTTTTGTCAATTTGTATTTGCTCTTTTGAAAATAACTGTGCCTATAACCTTGGCTTGAAGTGAATCTGAAAACCACCCATTGGGGTTGGTCAATTATTTTTACACTTGATCTTAGCCAAAAGGCTGAGAAGCGATGATAAATTATTTTTTAAAACCATTAAATAGTATATTATCTACATCACAAGCAACCATTATTGGACTTCTGCTAGGGGCTGAATGTTCTCCACCTGCCAAGAGTGTTGAACAAAAGCAAAATGCACTAAAATGACTTTTACATTTTTATTTTAAAATAGTTTATTCTTTGCAACGTGCTATCTTTGAATGCTGAGCATGAACCTGGTGTTTGGTAAAACACCATTAGGTAGTCTTAAATAATTTTGCAGGGCAGCTGAGCTATATTATCAGTTGCTTAAAATTATGTTCTGCTTGAAATGTTCACATCATGACATCTGAAAAGGTGTAGTTATTTGACACATTTTAGGAAGCACGTTTGTTACACTCATCTTCTCTATACTGTAAACATGTTCTTTTCAATTAAGGTACGAGATGAGTATCGTCAGGACTACGATGCTGGGAGAGGAGGTTATGGAAAACTGGCCCAAAACCCGTGAGTGGTGAGAGCCCCGTCATGAAAAACTCACTCCTTTGGCCTGTTGAATTTGATGTGCATTCCCAAGGTCTGCGAACCTGCCTGTTTTTACCAAGCTTTATTTAATATGTCTCTACTGAGCTGGAAGGCTCTTCATGATTTTCCACTTAAAAAATTATTAAAGGACAGAATCCAAGAGAATGCCTTTAATTCTGTAGTCTTAACATCTTGGTTGTGTGTCAGATTACCAGAATGATTTCTGTTACCAGGTCAAAAATTGTGTTCCTTAGCAACAGACTTCATGTGTTATGTTGCTCTATCAACCAAAACACACTTCTTTTAGGAAGATTGGGAAAAAAATTTTTAAGTGTTTACCATGTTTGCATCTAAGTAGGTTTATGGTCTACCATGGGGCCTGGAATTACTATTTAAAAAATTTTAAGTTTGCATGAGATAGTTTAATAAGTGGAGTTTTGCTATGTAATGTAGCTTTTACTCTAAATTAGGAATAGATTTTGATAACTGAATTTTTTTCTATGTTGAATTTTAATCTCTAAAGGCAAACTTAAGAGTCAAGGGAACTTCCTAAATAGTTGGTAAGCCTTAGACAGTCGCAGGGGACACCACTTCTTATGTGCTTTATATATCAGGAAATTAGGTCAGGACTTGAAGGGTATTTACTAAACACATTTTTCAAAATATGTTTTGGCTAACGCTAAAAAAACCAAGGGTCTGTATTAGAGGGAACCTCAACTACTCTAAGGGCAAGGTGGGGACGCTGTCAGTAGGAAATGGGGAGGAAATATCAGGAGATGTGAGTTAAACCAGTGCCTTAACATGATGAAGGTTGCTGTGAGAGCCAGCAGATCTATTTTTTTCATTTTCAAACTGATCCTGGGAATTGAGTGGGGTTTGTTTTGTTTTTTAAAAAAAAGAGCTTAAAGATCAAGAGAGAATGCTTAACAAAAAATCAGAAATGCTTCCCTCGGGAAATGTTTTGGCTCATTCTCATACTGAAGTCTGTCTTGGTTTTTCCGTAACTAACTGTGCTGAGTTTCAGAGCCTGGGTAGTGAGCTGGTGGTCTCTACAGAGAAGGGAGTCTGGAGGATTTACTTTGCATTTGTAAGGCAAGAGAGAATTTCTCTACTATTATGTGAACTATTGCTCATTTTAAACTGATAGTCTAGTATAATTTTCCCTGATGTAAGTGATATTTTTTCATCTAGCAACAAAGTATCTCCTAATTTCCAGTAGTTTGTGAAGTTGGGGCTGAAGTATCTCAATTGAACATCTTTCATGTTACAGTAAGTGTATGTTTTCTCAAATTTAAACTGGCTATTTGAACTTTAAAAGATATCTCTAAATTAGTTGTGTTTAGGAAAACATTAGCAAATATCTAATAATTTAATGAGGACATACAAATCATTATTAAAATCTTTTTACACTGTAGTTTGAATTAATGTATTTTATATTTTGCAGTAAAACGTAACTCAGATTTCTATAGGCATTAAAACCACAGTGGTTCCTATTTGAATTGTCTTCTGTGACAGATTTCAATAAAATTGGACCAACTTATCATTGTCTGTGTTTCCTCACCGATAATGACATTGATGCGGTCTTTACTCTGGAATACATTTTGGGGGGAAAAATCTATGAATAGTATGCAGAATTTACATGTCCATTTTAACTTGACAGTTACTAATATTGCTAGCCACTAGCCACATGTAGCTAAGTAACTAAACTAAAACACTCAGTTCCTCAGTCAGTCAGGTCACATTAGCTACATTTCAGATGCTCAGTAGCCACCCGTGGTTAATGGCTGTTGTAGATAATGGAATTTGTAGATGCCAATACAGAACATTTCCATCATTGCAAAAAATGCTACTAATGGACAGGGTGGGCTGCTTAGAGCCCACACTGGTCACTGTTAATAGATGAGCCTTGTCGTGACTGGTGTGTCACTGGGAAAAATTACCAAACAGTACATTTTATCCAACACAAGAGAACACACATTTATAAAGGCATTTAGTTTATTTTTCAAAAAAATATTTTTGCTAGAAGGTTTGAGTGATTTTTACATGATCACAATCTTTAAATAATTTTTTTCTAACCAAAAGGTACCATTTAAGTGGACAGCTTGTCTAGATTTGCTTTTGTTAACACCCAAATACAATTAGCACTTCTGATGGCATTCCCTAGGTCTTAATTATCTACAGGCCAGGAGGCAGAGCCTAGCACATAACAAAGTATGTGCTTTACACCTGCTGATTAGTTCAGTTGCATAACAATTAAGCAGAGCAGGTAATCAGGATATCTAACTCACACTATTAACACACTGGTTCTCGCCTGAAGAGTCTGAGTCACCCAGAGCTCCCAGTTATTCCTTCTAACCCAGGGAAGTAGTATACTACAATTGCAAAGAAAAGGGGAAGCTCAACTTAGGCTAGTGCTGGCTGTGTCCCAGTTAGGTCTGTTATTTTGTTCCAACTATGAATTCTAGGTGACCAATGTTAATCATATTCAATGATAAGTAGAAAATAAAATGCAAAGCCAAAAAAAATGATTTGGGGATTACTGGCAGCAACTGCTGCTTCTCCCTTCCTTAAGTGCATCCCTTCCTTAAGAGAAGGTTGGTTCTCTATGATTCTTGAGTAGAACGTAACTAAAAGTTGAACTAAATCTACATTCATTGCAATAGATTTAACAAAAGGATAAAAGCAACTACAGACTGGTAAATTTGCTGATGGAGAGGACTGAGCAGCTTGTTGAAGGCACATCATAAGCAGCTTTTAGTTTGATAAGGCCTGCCCTCAACCCCAAAAGCATAAGGTCTGCCCACCTTGAGGGCACCCAAACAACTCAGTGCCAAGCTAGTGAGAGTAAAAACAATGCCTGTCTCTTCTACCAACAGCCCAGACTGTATTTCCAAAATTTCTGTTGCAAGGAAGTCATTATTGCAAACATCAGGATAAAGGCCATTCTAAACTTAGGGCTTGGGCTAAATAGAGGTTTGCACCTAATCTCAAGATGCGGGGAAGCGACTATGTGTGCTGAAGCAAGTTTCGTGAACAACAGAGAAACATTTTAACCAGACTTAAAATATTTGACATTTAAGCTAAAGCATGGTGGACGATGTACCTCCAGGTGCCCTACTAAACTGGACATGAAAGGCACCCTGGACTTGGGACAGCTCACCTTAGGTTCTCTCTGCCTCCCTGTTAAGAGCATGACCATTTCTCAGAGTGGAGGAAATGGCAACTGAAACTCTGGGCATTAAGATTTTGGCCAGAACAGAATTCTGTCTCTTCTGTATGCCTCGTTCTGTCAGAGAGTGAGATACGAGATACGGAGCTCTAAAGTATAAGACACTTTTAATCAACAGTCTAGTTACCCATTACCAAAAAAAAAAAAAAAAAAAAAAAGCAAAATTCTCAGAGTGGAGGAAATGGCAACTGAAACTCTGGGCATTAAGATTTTGGCCAGAACAGAATTCTGTCTCTTCTGTATGCCTCGTTCTGTCAGAGAGTGAGATACGAGATACGGAGCTCTAAAGTATAAGACACTTTTAATCAACAGTCTAGTTACCCATTACCAAAAAAAAAAAAAAAAAAAAAAAAAAAAAGGCAAATGTCTCACATACAGGTTTGCAAAATCTCATGTTTGTATAATTATGCCTGAAAACCTCAAGAAGACACCCAACCCATTTTGTCACCTTTCCTAATGCTGATACAACCCTACCTGTAGCAGCACAAAGTGCCTCTAATATCAGTCTTTTTAATGACTTGAAGCACAATAAGAAATACTGACCTGGTTTTATATTATACTAAGGAGTTTGAGTCTGAGGGACTAGGAAAGTGCTGGGGCTGTTTACAATGTAAACATTGGTGTTGGTGCTTGGAATGTCTGGGGATGGGAACCCTGCATGTAAACATGTTCTGACTCCACCCTCAACTGCTGGCAGTCAGCCCTACCTTATGGCCAAGTTAAACTGCACATTTTAGCCTTTTATTTTCAACACCTCACACCTAACAAGGCATAAACCAAAGCATCTTCTGCCATTTACTTGGTATTTTTCTGTACAAGCTTCCGAATTTCTTGTATACACGTTTGTTTTTCCTCCCCCAGTTCAGAAAAGATGTAGTTTAACATGCATCTTTCCTTATTTCCTTTCCTTTCCAGTATCACAAAACTTTGTTAGATTAAAGATGCAAGATCCATTATTTTAATCCTAATGCAGCCAAGGGTAATAATCAGGACAGGGCCACTTCTGCCTTCCCCCAGAAGATGAGGTTCATGGAAGCAAAAAAAAGGACTCCTGTGCTAGAGTCTCAGGGCTGGTCAAGCAGAGGCAGATGAGCCCTGCATGCTGCTGAGATCACTAGAGAAATAAGAGGGAAAAAACTCATAACGTTTGCTGTACTCCCGCAGTTTCAAGTCTCCCTTAATACCTTTCCTGTTCTCTCCTCCCCACCCACGTGCAAAATACCTGAAGTCAGTCTTCTGTTTTGAATGTTTATATTTTAAATACCCTTGAAATAGAAAGGTATTTGGCAAATCTTAATTCCTTCCATATGGGAAACAATTGCTGTTAGAAAGGCTGAATTCTCATTTGTTTGACCGCTAGTTTTGACAGACACTAATTTTTTAATGGGTCAAAACCAGAAAAATCCGGGGAATCAGTGTTCCAGCAAAAGCCTTTGTAAGATTAAAGCATTTATTATAAATGCTTCTTAAAACCAAGATTGAAATCTCTCATGTGTGAAGATAAATGGACCCTCAAGGTCGCTGTCTTTTTCTCATACCTTAATCAACTCTTCCCAAAGCAGGCACTGTGCTTACAAGTGTGCCTCCATAAATAGAACATATCAGTCAGTTTATGGCCACTTCCTTTTCACCCTTCAAAAGGAATGTGACTCACTTGGAGAGGGAAGTCAGTGAAAGGTGCTGCTGGTAAAAATAAAACAGGACTGGCTTTGTCTGAAACCCCTTCTAGCTACCCTTTATGCCCCAGGGAACATCTACTATTCTCAGAGTTATGTTGTATCAAAAACATCCTGCATTTTTAGGTTCTGGAATTAAAATTTAAACCTGTATTCAGTTCACATCTAACTAAGTTTCAAAAGCTGCACCAAATCTACTAGGCTTTTTTTTTTTTTTAATACTCTGCACTGCATGCTCTGTCTATATGCATGCGTTTAGATAATAAATATTAAATATAGGGGAACACACACACACAGAATCCATAAAATTAAAAATGAAACCAAACTGAACATTAAAAAATAGTACATAGTAACTAGGGAAATGAGTAAGGGCAGAAAATAAATTTGAGGTAACAACAGTGGCCCAACACCACTGATCTGAAATATCTGTAAAAATTCAAATAAGTGTTTGGAGATTCAAGTAACCAACCATCTGCTCCAACTTGGTCAGACTTCCCAGAGTCCCTGCTGAGTTTCAGTCCATGAGCCGGCACTCACACAGCTCCTTGTAAATCCTCTTCCGCACTCGGGGCATGTCTTCTT